GTGTAGCTTGCCATTCAACAAGAGGCTTCTTATTACAGGCTCAGTGATAGGCCGTTAGGTTTTCATACAACCATAGTCAGTTGGTTTAATGCTAAGGGAAGTCTCTGGTAGTTTAGACACTGGTTGCAACGTTAGCGAAATTGGAACAATGCGGAAAATAATGATTTGAGTATTACTGAATTATCTTTTCAAAGCACAAGACCGACATTTTAGGCCCAGACTTCAATTGAGGGCTCTGTGCCCCTTTTCAAAATTCCGGGTTACCCCCGTTTTCAGAATGTATAGATTTCCCCCTGTCAATCAATTTCCCCCTGTTGATGGTGATAATAAACTACTTAATAATTAAATCATATCATTTGATTGTCAAAATTAGTAAAATGACCCTACACGAAATACTAAATTGTTTCGAATTATTCATTCGTCGTCATTCCGAAATTTGTGCACGGCCTTTGACAGAATTGGGTCTCGTTTTATGTCTTTCTGAACCAATTCGGACAGTTCGGAATTTTACACCCACCAGATCTCGATGAGATGTTATTTATTATTGCCTGTTGAGACAACTAAGGTGTCTATCTAGTCCATGCTGCACCACAATGGTTTACAAATTAATACAAAGACGAAGGTTGTCTTGATCTCTCTCCCTTCTAGATTAATTGAATACCCTTATTTTCCGATGTACAAAACATTAAATTTGGCATAACAGACACATTTGAAACGTCATAGGAATAGCGTCTGGGGTGCTCAAGAGCTTGGTGAAGGTATGGAAGCCGGCTGCGGCCATATCTACTCTCGACTTCTCGCCCACGGGAACGCGAGGAAAAAGGCGAGGAGAAAGGCCTTTTTACTCTCGCTTTCTCGCCTTTTCCCTCGCTTTCTCGCCTTTTCCCTCGCTTTCTCGCCCTTTTCCTCACCCTTTTTCCTAGATATCTATGTATCTACTGGATCAAACTGAATTTGATTTTAATACGTTAATTAACAAATGGATCGTTTTTTTTTTATCTTGTAAATGAATAGTTAATTAATTAGTTTGACCTATCTTTGTCTTTTTAATGGCTCAATAATTTTAGTTGGAACCTTCAGAAAAATTAGGCGACATATATTTCTCTAAAATAATGCGTTTAATTTGATTTTAACAAAAACAATACAAACTTACAAAGTTTATGTAATGTGTAGCCTAGGCCTACGTCATAAGCTTATAGAATAGTTTTGGCGTTCAACTGCTGTATTTCTTATGTTAAAACTTTCATATATCATATGTCGATTGGTGTATGTCTTTAATGGTCTTCCGTACAAAAAGTAAGAGAGACAGCAGCTTGGTGATTTGATATTTCGAATTTGCACTAGTGTGAGATAGTATGGTATGAATTTAAAAAAGTTTCTATGACGGCTAAGCCTAGCAAATTGCCCGTAAACTGCACGGAACCTTTCACTTCAGACAGAGGGGCAGATTTGAAGTTGATTTTATTCTTCAATGGTGAGTATACAGAAAGTGAATGTTTACAGTTGGTTTACTTCGACAAAATTTTAAGTACCTGTACCGTATCAAAATCCGAATCAGAGAATATTCGTCTGCTGGAGATTTTTAAACCAGACAAGGAATTGGTGTTGTCTTAAATGAAGACTTGGATATTTCCAAGAAAAAAAGTAACACAAATTTTCATTTGAGAATTTTATTTTTTCTTAAAGCAAACCAAATGGAAATTTTGGAAAATATAAGTGTAGGGCCCACCTGCTGGCTTTCTACATAGCCTACTTGAACCCCTTTGAAAATGGATCATAATTTAAAAAACCAAAACGTGCAAAACTGAGCTGATTTATTACTGAAATTACAATTATATATTTAAACTGATATACTTCAGAATGCATCATTTCATCAAATTTTTTAAACAATGCGTGTGGCTAGCAAGACATCAATAGACCTACATTACCAGATATTCTAAAGTATCTCTGTGCCCGGGAGTGCCCCACACAGTACCACAATACAGTCAAGGCTTAATTAACTACCCCTTGACTGTATTGTGGTACCGTGTGGGACACAGGGACATTTTAAAATAATAGTTAACTTCTTAATGGTTCAGCTTTCTAGGCCAATGCCAAATTTTGACATTGTCATGGTAAAATCCTCAAAAAAATTCTGAAAATTTGATCTCAGCATCTGCCCCTGAACTGCCAATATCACATCAGTATGGCACGTCAGAGGAAAGAGTAGAGCCTGATTTGTTAGACTAACATAAACAATCAATTATCCACAGAGCTGTTTGATTACCACAAATAATAATATCAATATCTTCCAAAACAAAACTAAGTTTTTTCCTTCTTGATGGGAGAGTCTGAAAGAAATAAAAAATTCAAATACTTCCATGTATGAAGAGTTTGTAATGACATATGTCTGCAACCAGCTTTTACTCTTAAAATAAACAAAATTTTTATCAAAAAATTGTTTATCATCTTAATTATACCTGAAAGTATTTATAAAATATGTTCTTTACATCTATCTACATGTAGTTATTATTAAGTAAGCAGTCTGAACTTGTTCGGCCTCATAAAGAATTCATATTTTCCTAAAAATGAGGGTTTTATTTTGCCTAAGTCCATACACTAGTTTTCTGACACCAACCAGAAAACATAGCCAGTCACTCTAATGTGTTTAAGTAAACCTCTTGGCATTGATCTCTCCTAGATTTACAGCTGGGTCAACTGGAATAATGAGCAATTGTGGCTTATTAATTACCCATTTACAGCTTGGTGGACTGGAATAATGAGGAAAGATGACTTATTCAGTACCCATTTTCAGCTGGCTGCTGGATTAATATGGAAAGATGACTTATTGAATGTCACCTGACTTTTTGCTCATGACCGAGATTTAAGTCCACAACCATCATTTGTTCAATGTAACCAAACAAATGACTGCTATAGTGCTGTTTTCATAAATGTAACCACAAAAAAAACCTGTTAGGGATGGCATGCTTAACAAGTCTGCAGAGTTTAATAGATTATTGTCAACTTCCATGGGCTGGTCATTAGTTGCTCTTTTCTCTTCCTCTACAGAATTCAGGACAACTCCAATTGGTACCATAGCTTTTAAATAAAGATTTAAATATATAGAGCGCCTTTGCAGTTACTCTAATCACTTTTCAGAATGTACAATGTCTTGTTTGTATGCAATTGAAAAAACTAAAGATAGCTTGCGTTGCAAGGTAACATACGCCCATTGGCAGCTTTCAGAAATAATAAAACAGTCTTTAGTGACTAAAGTACAAATTTTCTCATATTGAAGAAATTATTTATGCTGAATAATTCCACATTTTTTTAAAATCAATATCAATAACCTAAATACAACAAACAATTAAATCACACAGCTCTAATCAAGGGCAAAAAACAACTTTTGACGCGTGTTTACAAAGTCAAGGGCAATAACTCAAAAAATGTTCATCAAAAACATCTCTTGTTAGAACTTGTCTGAGATCTTATCAATTCCACTGATCACACCAAGTTTCATCAGAATCGGTTGAAAACTGTAGCTTCTATTGTGCTCACAAACAAATTTTGACGCGTTTTTCGTAAGTTAATGGCATTAACTCAAAAACATTTCATCGAAAATGCGTCAAGTTAGAACTTGTCCGAGTTTTTAGCAATTTCAATGATCACACCAAGTTTCATCAGAATCGGTTGAAAACTGTAGCTTCTATTGTGCTCACGAACAAATTTTGACGCGTTTTTACAAAGTCAAGGGCAATAACTCGAAAACCGTACATCAAAAATGCATCAGGTTAAAACTTGTCTGAGATCTTATCAATTCCAATGATCACACCAAGTTTCATCAGAATCGGTTGAAAACTGTAGCTTCTATTGTGCTCACAAACAAATTTTGACGCGTTTTTCGTAAGTTAATGGCATTAACTCAAAAACATTTCATCGAAAATGCGTCAAGTTAGAACTTGTCCGAGATCTTATCAATTTCAATGATCACACCAAGTTTCATCAGAATCGGTTGAAAACTGTAGCTTCTATTGTGCTCACAAACAAATTTTGACGCGTTTTTACAAAGTCAAGGGCAATAACTCGAAAACCGTACATCAAAAATGCATCAGGTTAGAACTTGTCTGAGATCTTATCAATTCCAATGATCACACCAAGTTTCATCAGAATCGGTTGAAAACTGTAGCTTCAATCCTACTCACGAACTATTTTAAACAAATATTGACGCGTTTTTACAAAGTCAAGGGCAAAAACTCAAAAACCGTTCATCGAAAATGCGTCAAAATATAACTTGTCCGAGATATTATCAATTCCAATGATCACACCAAGTTTCATCAGAATCGGTTGAAAACTGTAGATTCAATTCTGCTCACGATCTATTTTTAACAAATTTCGACGCGTTTTAACAAAGTCAAAGGCAATAACTTAAAAACCGTTCATCGAAAATGCGTCAAGTTAGAACTTGTCCGAGATCTTATCAATTTCAATGATCACACCAAGTTTCATCAGAATCGGTTGAAAACTGTAGCTTCAATCCTATTCACGAACTATTTTTAACAAATTTCAATGCGTTCTAAGTCAAGGGCAATATCTCAAAAACCGTTTATCGAAAATATGTCAAATTCTAACTTGACCGAGATCTTATCAATCTAAAACATCACACCAAGTTTTATCAAAATCAGATAAAAACTGTAGTCTCTATAGTGCTCACAAGAAATGTTGACGGACGGACCGACGGACAGGGGCGACGACAATTTACGACCACATATTCATGTGGGCGTATAAAAACATTATTTAATTGCAAATCTGTTTGTTTTTTTCATTGCAAAATCCATTTTATTATTGTTAACTTTTGACTAGCACTATCAGATTTAAAAAAGAAATACTCATAAAATTCCCAATTTCATATCCAAGCGACCCCATTAGAAAAATCTAAATTGCGCCCATTTTGCATCATTTAGACTTTTAGAGCTCTTTGAATCCATCTACAACTTGCAGTCCTGATGAAAATTTTGTCAACACTAATGAATGAAATTCTTACTAGCTGTTTTATCGTCTGTATTAGCAGTTGTCTGCCCTTTTAGTTCTGTCAGTTGAGTTTGATTTGCTGATTTCCTATGACTCCGTCTTTTTGATGTTTTGCCACTGCCAAAAGCCTTGGCTCGTAATTTTGCTCTTCTAGATCCTGTAGTTTCATCTTCCTGTTGAAAAAAAGGGACAAGGATAAGGATTGAACAAGATAGGAGATGACAGCACAAGGATGAGGATTGAACAAGATAGGAGATGACAGCACAAGGATGAGGATTGAACAAGATAGGAGATGACAGCACAAGGATGAGGATTGAACAAGATAGGAGAGGAAAGGACAAGGATTCTACAAGACAGGAGAGGACAGCATAAGAATTGTACAAGATGAAGATTGTTAAGCATGATATAATGTTAATATTACTTACATCATCTTGTGTGGACTGGGACATTTCTTCACTGTTTGAATCACTCATTTGAGCTTTGGTCTGTAAAATATAATATCACTCTTTTTACTGGTATTGCTAAAAGATGCCCTGAATTCAGGAGCTGAATATATATATAGATATAAAGAATGCTTATAAAAGTTGTATAAAGGAGTGGTGCCACAAAAGGTGTACTACCACAATTTAATCATAGACCAAGTCTCAATCTCATTCACAATGAGCAAGCCAAGGGCAATAACTCTGGAACTATTCATTTAAAAAGTCATCTAAAGTCACTCATAATCTCAAAAACATGCAAAAGCATTGAATCTGATTGAACCAAAAATCTCCATTATTAAAAAATTTTTTTTTGGGGGAAATGGGAAATAACTTGTATATAAAATATAAGTATCTATACACGTAAAGAAATTCTATACCTTAGAAATCAGTTTCTTCACTTTTTCTTGGTGTTGCTTTATTGAACTGAAAACATAAATAAAGGAAATACAGCCATCATAATATTTGCTTTCCACCTAATAGAGCTCAAATTTAGCTATATTTGGCACTTTTCGGAATGAAAATAATTGGTAAGAGAGACCACAATATAATTCATACAAGATATTTAGAAATAGAGCTTAACATACTTGGTAATAGAGTCTACAATGTTTTCCTGTATCACAGCCAAAGAGACGTCAGGTTTTTTAGCACCAGGCCCTGCTAGAGCTATTTTTAACTGCTGATATTGGTAATCCACTGCTGTCAATTGCTGAAAAGAAAATAAGAATGAGAATGTGCAATATCTTTTATATAGTCCAAGACCAAATATTTTCTCCAAGTTGGAGAAGTAGTATTTTTATCACGATATGGAAATATTCATTAAAGCTATTGTGCTTTAATTATCAATTTACATACCAAAGTATGGTAACAGCCAACAACTAATCCGACATATTAACCTCTAGAATCCCAATACTTGTTTAATAAAAAAACAAAAAACCCAATTACCAATAAGAGAGTTTGGCAATACATTGGAAGCAGCTAATGAACTTTTCATATGAATTATCAACTGCTGTTGCTGCTCATTATTACACACAAAGTATTGAGGTATAACAAAAACCTAGTGTTATGTAAAATAATAGACACATCTCATGGCAACTGGACATACAACATGACATGATAACATGAAGTATTTGATATGGATGTCACAGACTTCTTATTCAAACCCCATCAGAACAGCAATTTCTAGAAAGGGAGGTTAACTTTTAAAAATTAGACATTGAGCAAATTCATCACATAAGGATTACTCTGAAGATTTTTTTTAGTAGAAACTTACCCTTAAATCATCAGTAGAAACTATATTGACAATATTAGACTGTTCCATAGGACCCAAATCTTGTTGATAATAACTACTTAAACCAGAATTAGTTGCTCTTAACCTCATCTGAAATACATAAACCAGAATAAGTAGCTTTGAACCTCTTCTGAAATACTTAAACCAGAATGAGCTGTCTGAACCTCTTCTGGAAAACTTAAACCAGAATAAGTAGCTTTGAACCTCATCTGAAATACTTAAACCAGAATGAGCTGCCTTAATCCTAAACTGAAAAACATATACCAGAATCAGTTGTTTTTAAACTCATCAGAAATACTTAAACCAGAATTAGGTCGCCTTTATCAAAAACTAAAATATATAATCCAGAATGACTTGCTTTCAACCTAAAATTGGTTACTTTTAAGCCACTTTATAATACATAACCAAAATTTGTTGCATTTAACCTAATCTAAAAAAAAACAAACCATAATTGCTTGCTTTTAACCTAAAATAGATAAACGAGAATTAGTTGCTTTTTACATTAATCAGTTGAAAATTATTCCAAATAAATAATCAATAAGAGAATATAATTAATAATTCAAAAGACATATAGAAAAAATACTACCTCTTTCCTGCTGAAAACAAAACTAAAAGCATTGGCTGATCGGAGGTACTGGAAAACAAAGTCTATATCGTAATGTTGCTGACTGTGAGCCTCGTTTTGATAATCTGTCAAATCTTTCCACATATCCATGGTAACACGGAACTAAAAATTCAAAAAACACAAATTAAGGTTGTCTCTGGAACACTTGATGTCATGAGTAAAGTCAAGGAGAGAGGGCAACAGTTGAAACTGATTCGCAACCCTTAAGGAGATGTTGCTCAACCAGCCAAATGATAAGAACTCATCTCACGCTATCAACAAAGATTTTAAATATCTTCATTAGGACAGTTAGTTTTGGGAAATAAGGACAGCCGACAAAGGCCCAAAAACAGTAGAGGGAAAAAATCTACAATATCAAAAATTTGACTCATAATGATTAGACCTTATCTCATGTCAGCACATGATATTGATTACAAAATTAAGATTGATAATCGATGGCAGGCTACAGATCAATAATACATTAATAGAAATGTAGAAGATAGAAATATTTTAATTGAGAAATATTCAGAACACTAAAAAAGGATCATGTCAAAAATTTTTAATTCCATGCCTTATTTTTGTATCATTTAAGTATCATCGTAAAAACATTCATTTAATCAATTCAAGAAGTTGGTAGTCAATAAGCTTAATTGATATTTAAATTTCATAGCGAGGATAAACAATTAATTGAATTATTTCACCCAGACCTATAACTCACGCTGTCAATATGTGTTTTGGATTCCAATCCCTCATCAGGACAACCAGTTTGGAAATGCGATGTTTTATACAAAAGAACTACAAACCTTAACTGGTGGAATAGAATATTGAGTATTGTAAAGACCATACATTAAATATAAACCACAAGTACGAACTTGGAAATTAAAGGGTGGTAGGTAATAACATATGGCTATATCAAACACCTCTTCTAAAAACTGTAAATACAAAGAAGTAATTAGTCCCTTTTACACAAAGCTTACTCTTTTCAGGCCACAATGAAATATTATCATTTACAATACGGTAAAATCAAGTGTTCTGAGAACAGTTCTTCAATTGATCATGTGATTGAATTTAAAATGAATCTGTTTAGATGATGATGCTCTGTAGAGTCCTGTCTCATTGTGCATGCAGGCACATGAAGAAATCATTCGCTGATGAGAATTAAATCAACGACAAATATCAAACTGGTTTGATGTTCAAACTTCTATAGGCAATGAGATAATCTTTTGGTGGAGGCTCAAGCACACAGATGTCTAATACTCAAAAAAATGACAAAAAAGAATTTGTGAGACACCAGCATTAGCTATAAACTTTTAAATGAGCTCTACCAGACTATTAGCTATAATGTTTATAGTATTAACTGATTAAAAGGATACCTCTCTTGCTTCCTGCTGATTTTGTCTACCACTTTGTAACAATGACAGCTTCATTTCTCTCCAAATCTCTGCAAAATTTTCATATCGAACTGTTTCCATGGCAACAAACCTCTCAATTAGAGTTTCAAAATCTTGTTTTATTCCTAAAGTTGGTTGGGTGACAGATTTTGTCTTTGGTCGTCTCGGTTTCTTTTTATTTGGTACGTCATCATCATCATCATCACTCATATTGTACTGGTTAAAAATGTTTTCTCTGTCTTGCTATGTAAATAGAAATGAATCATGTTAACTGAATAGTGTCAAGGGCTATGCCAGTTTGGTCAAGATGTATGTATAAAAATTTCTTTGCAAGGTAAGACTGATCTTCCATAGTGAACTAGGCGATATTTGTAGGTAATTAAATGCACTCTCAAGTTATCAAATAGTTAATGAGCTCACAATCAAATAGTGCTATTCTGTCAGTAGGGGGTACATTATAATCTGACGATTACTCTTTAACTAAATTTAAAATTTGGAAACTGTACTGATAGTTTAAGAATGACTTTGTGTTGATGAAGGTATACATATATGCATGCAAAGAAAAGTAAAGAAGCACTCAAATACCAACTGAATATATCCAACTATCCTTCCTTAAAACAAAGATCAATGTGATATCAATAAGATTTAAGTCCTATGGAACAGTCTAATATAGTTTCTACTGATGATTTAAGGGTAAGTTTCTCCTAAAAAAATCTTCAGAGTAATCCTTAATGTGGTGAATTTGATTACATTGAATGTATGCCAATGTCTAATGTTTTCATTGAAACCGATCTCCCTGCGACCATTTAAAACTGTGTATGCAGCCAAAAGTTCAAGTGTCACAATGTCATGTGATACTAACAAAATAAAAGTTATGATGATACAGTTAAGTAACCTAATTTAGTGAGTGTTAACCTATTTTTCATGCATATCCTGAAATGATTAATAATTTACATGTGCGAGCTCGCGTGACCTACGTATTTGCTTGTTTTGATAAACATAGGTTATCTCTATGTCAGAAAGCAGAACGAATCAATTAGTTTCAAGCAAGTTAAAATGTATTAATGTATCCTTTGACATATAAAAAATGGCAGATTTCAGTTATTACCAAACGTCACCATTTTTTATCGGCCGAATTTCCTTATAATCCTAAGCTGCAATCGGAATTCAATGCGCCATCTGCTAGAATATATTCCAGCGAGTGAAAAACTAGCTGATTCTGTGTTAGCAGAAAAATTTTATGGCCATATTCTTAAGTTGTTTCCATGACTTTTATCAATAAATTACTCTTTTACTTTTGTCAGTCAATGTATTTTTTTTGAAACCATTTGAAGGAATTGTCATTAGATATAATTAATTGATATTAAAAATAAACACTAAGAAATTATACCGCTGAGTATCCATACTTAACTTATTTATAGATCAAACATTGCTCATGAAAATAGGTGACGCATTTTGCCGCCGTTATCGAGTTGGATACAACCAATTCTAATTAATGAATTGAATATCTGAAGAAACATTTAAGACAACTAAAATAAATTTCCGTTTTTTAAATTTGACGAGAATCCTTATATGCACGAATATAGGTTACACCACTGTACACTAATTTACAGTCATCCTAAAATATTTTGTTAGAAAAGCGCATCTTCAGAGATGCGGAACATACCTATAAAGCAGGGCCAGGTTTTTCTGACTTTACTCCAGCCGATAACTGTCAAAATATCTATAAGAGGTAGCAATAGAGCAGCACATTTCGGACTAGGCCTAATGCATAGTCCTTCCTTAATCGTGGTCTAGCAAAACCGTTCGAAGCGATAAATTAAATTACAAACATTCATATAAGGGTTTTCAATCAGCCACGGGTTTTTGTTGGCATTTAGTAGAAAATTGTAGTTAAATGAAGCTAACTTAGTGACAAGTCAACAAGGCTGGGTTGTTCAATTACAATGAAATGCTTCCGGCATGTCGATAAGACATTAACAAATCCAGAAATTTACCCAACGATACCCCGATGACATGTCATTTTACGTATCAATTTCGCTCTGATATTTTGTTTTTAATTCAGAAAATGGTTTATATTAGTTCTATGGTTAATAGTAAGACGATGGTAAATTGGCTGTGTAAAAATTAATGATGTAAGCGATTTAAAAAAAACAAAAAAACACTTTGGTTACGCTTTTGATATGTGTAACGTAACCAACACTTTCAATCTTTTTATGCTATATTTCATAACCAATTTTTTGCAAAATTTAATTCCAACTCAAATTCAAATTCAACAACAGGATACTATCAAAGAAAAAATTAACCAAAGTTGTTGGATGCTCTTTTGTATAATACTTTGAAATGACGAGAAAAACATGAAAAAAAAAAAGTCTATATTTCGTTGATTATCCAGGCGCGTTAATTGCTACTTTTTCTTGGCACAGCAATCAGGATATCAAGTTAACTACGAAGCTAAAATTAGTAATATTTATGAACACAAACAATAATAATTTCACATCGTGATATGTTGAAGGAGAACTAACGCGCGATTGCTGTGAAATGCCGAACTTGTCAGTGCACCAAAAGCCATAGAGATTTGTTCCTAAAGAGGTGCCTTTTGTCTCATTATTATTGTTTAACAGACACAAACTTTGTTGAATCAATCCAACGGATTTTCAGAACGGTCAAAAATATCTCAACTAATGCTGGGGTCAAACAGACTGTTTTTGTCGCCAATGCGAATCTTATTAAAAATCTCCCACGCTTCTATGACAGAATTATCACGACAGGATGTATAATATCAAACCAATTTGCTATTTCTCTGCTTTTTTTCTTGTTGACGTTATTTTCCTGGTGTGTCTGCAGCCGTTCGGTGAAACTCTTGACAAGACTCTAGTTCCCTTTTTAATTGAGCTCATGTATTTTTTACATGTAAAGCTCTATGAAACCTGATAACTGTGTAAATATCATTCAGCCAAATCACGAAAAGGTCCGCAATTATTCTAGAAGGCGAGAAAATGGAGAGAAAATTGGATTCAATGATACTTTTTCACTTGGTTTTATAAGCCGGGACTCATCTGTCAATTCGAACAAACATAGGAAATAGATTAGGTTTGAGTCACGCATTTTACATGTCGGTCATTTTAGTTCGTGATCTAATTCTGATATTTAGGTCAGGCGGGCAGTTTTGTATGACGTCAGTTGATACAGCAAATATCTCTTAAGGGATATAGTCGTACAAATATTTGCTTTTCCATCTAATAAAGCTCAATATCTGTAAAACGTTTCACAGTGAAAATCCGATGTATGGTTCGTCTATACTTAAACAAAAACTTAGGCCTACTCGTGGAAGTAGTTTTTATCTTATTCAATCTTATTGGTCGAAAACTAAATCCCGACCATTTCAATTCAATGACTAGCGTATCGACTTGAATATGAGACTCATATACATTATTTCGATTAATAAAGAGTTCCCCCTATATATTGGGTGGGCATTTTTCAGTTTGCACCAACCGACCTTAAACATGACATAGATTTCAAGAAGACGGAAGACCCACAAAAGTGTGTATCTGACAAACTTTATTGGTAAGTAGAGTTGATATTTGTCATCGGTCATCGGTGGAGTTTTATGGCCTAACTCTCAGTTCCCGATTGAGTTAATAATAATACAGAGGAGCAACCCTAAGCAATGCACAATGAAACAAAATGCAAATATTATAAACCATGTGAATAAGAACAAACGGGGCCTAGTCTTATGGAGTGTTACAAGTGTCGGGATTGAAATTCCAATTACGACAGCTCTATGGACGGTCTCTCAAGAAATTTGTGAAAAATGGAAATGATTTTGTGCATTCTGAGACATCTTTTTGGACAAAAACGTATACAAAAAATCATATTTTTACCTTGTAAGAAATGAAGTGGATAACAAAAAGTTGCTTGCATAAATTCTCCCTGCCATTATATATACTGCTTACAATAAATCTTTCAAAATGATATTAACAACATTATATGATGGTCTTTTTATCTGTATTCTATCGCCATAAACAAAAACAAATGGTTGACATATTGTGTTTTATATAACCACAACCAAAAATTTCAAAAAATTATTTTCAAGTTTCTATTTGCGTCAATAATTATGGTTTCGCTGTTTCAACTTTTGAAATAATATTGTTAAAGTCGTGTTTGTAATGAGTCTTATTTACAGAGATACTACCTCATAGAATGGACATAGAATGTCTCCCAAAACATATCTGTTGGGGCAGCGACCGAAAAATATCGTGCACAACCCGAAAACAAAATGCAGGTAAAATTCGTGAGCTAATTTCGGGCAAACCTGCCTTCCCTCCCAACTGGCCTTCGGTCCCCACACCTATCGTAGCCTACCCGGTGTCATAAATAATTACTCGATGATTGCGTAGTTTGAGAAACATTTAACCTACTTAGTTTAATGGATTTATCGTATAGAGGGATACTGATATACAGTTATGGCACTGAGTAGATCAAAGATGTTATAGCCTACTTTTATTGCTCAAGTTTGAAAATCTAAATTTTATGCTCATTCTAAGAGGTGTAGGCTATTCCAAAAAAAATACAAACCAGGATTTCTTATTTGTGAATTTATGTTGTTGACGTCGTGACGACTTCATTCATTTAATGCCTTTGAAAATTGAAGAATTTTAAAAATACAGTCTATATATGCTGTTTGGCTTGAATAAGAAAAAAATCGCATGAATTGTAGCTGGATAGCCTAGCCTAATCCTACATTATTATTTTTTGCATTCAGATTTCAGAAGATGACGTCAAACAGTAATCATGGTGATATGATTTTGGCGGGATTACAAATACTGTATGAATCGGGAGAACTAACTGACGTGACATTACAATCTCCAGATTCACAACTCTGTTGTCATAGAAACGTCTTAGCTGCATGTAGTCCGTATTTCAGGTAAGCATAGCACAAGAAAATGCATAATTAATGAATGCCGTAATGAATGGAGAAGCTCATATCACACGCAACATAAAGAATACCCAACATAAAGTAATCTGATTTCCGAATATGGCATTTTGTGGATGTGTTTGAATTCATATGCTACTGATATTTTTTCCAGAGCCATGTTTACCATGAAACTAAGAGAAACTGTGGAACAGACAGTAGAACTTCACGATATTGGTCCTGGCATACTGCCAAATATTGTCCGCTTCATCTACACTGGACAAGTGAGCATAAACCACTCGAATATCCAGTCACTTTTGATAGCAGCTAATATGCTGCAGTTGGATTCCCTGTCAAAATTGTGTATTGATTACGCATCTTCGAAACTTGATATCGAAAACTGTGTGGACGTTTATAACTTGGCGGACTTCGTTAACTTAAGCGACCTTAAAGCCTTGTCGAAAAAGTTTATTTATGAAAATTTTGATAAAATCAGCGAGACAAACGCTTTGTGTAATGCCTCGTCAAATTTTATGATCGAAATGCTCTCTAGCAATGACATAATCACAGAAAAAGAAGAAACTGTCTACAATCTTTTAGAAAAATGGATCGTGTGCGATCACGACAAACGATCCACGTTTTTCCCGCTCTTATTTCAATATGTCCGTCTGCCCTTATTGGATGGGTCATTCATCTCAAAAACTCTTGCCTGCAGCGAGTTAGTTACATCGAACGAACGCTGTTGCGAATTGCTTAATTTAGCAACACATGCAAAGGGAGATGGCAACTCAAATCAGAATGCCGAGTTACGAAAGGGTATGTGCAACAGACCTTTACTCATATTTTCAGGGGGTTCAATTTCAGAGCGCTCCCGCTCCTTTACGTGCTTTGACACTGAAACACACAAAAGTTACATTGGTGTAGAACAGCACCCTACTTTCGATGCCAAGTTTAAAATCGAACATTTTCAACTGATAGTAGGAACAGACAACTCCATACTATTCCTTGGTGGCGCTTGGAAAGAGGCACTTCAATTTGAAGGCATTGAAGCGCTAAACGACGTTTTGAAATATTCTCAAAGAGACCGGAAGTGGATATATTGTGCACCGATGACGCATGGTAGATGTTCCTTTGCGTGTTGTGCGTACGAAGATCGGATTTACGTTTTCGGAGGAAAGGACAGACGTCATAACGGACATGTTCTCGACCAGTCGGAGTTTTATGCCGTGGAATCTGACCACTGGCAAACGATTCAGTCCATGCCTGTTGGAATCAGTCACCAAGCCGTGACCGTATGGAAAAATTATATTTACACCTTTGGGGGTATCGACGATGAAAATGCTTATTTAAACACAGTGCTTGTGTACTCTGTTTTTAGGGATACATGGTCATTAGTGCCGACCGAACTGTCGCGTCCAAGAGCAGACTGCCAGGCGTTCACCTTCAAAGACACTATCTTTGTATTAGGCGGCGCAGACAAGCATGAAAATCAGACTAATATCGATGTATATGACCCAGAAAAAAATCGGTGGAGCGAGGGACAAATTTTCCCAGACGATCGAAAAATCATGGCGATTACTAAATACAAGGACGCGATATATGTGTGTGGAGGATTTCGTCAGTTAGGAACTCGACAAGGCTATCATCGTCGAACAAGGACTGTAGAAACTAAAGATTTGTATAAGTACGATATTAAGAATGATGTCTGGAGCTGCGAAGCGAAGATGATACCTGTAGCCAATAATGCATGTTGTACTATGGCCCTGGTAAACATGAATTTTTTGACGGAATACATCTGAAGTCATCCATGGGAAGCTTACAATGAGAAGGATTATAAACCATATACCCAAATCCTTCACTGTTAGGTGCCCTCACGGTAATCAATCAAGTCAGTTAGATACGATTTGTTAGGCACACTTTCATTTAGACTTCATTAACAACGACAACGTCATCTTTTCCACTCAAATCTACTAGACTAAATCCCTTTAACAACTTACAGTACTTCGTAAAAAAAAGTAACATCATATTTTCCACTCAAATATTTAGGTATAAGTTGAAAGATGTAAAATGACAAGAGATGACAGTAAGACATCACTATTGAATTAAAATAAACCATAAATCGCCCTGTATCGTGACTGATAGGGCGTGTTAGTTTTAACCACTTTACATTTTTACTTATCACCGAGTGAAAATTTGGTTCTTAAAGAAAACGATATTGTAAATCAGATAGGGCTCCCATTGTTTTGAACTCATAGAATCGCATTGTCTATGATCTCCCCTCCTCTTCATTTAGATAATGTGTTCGGCAACTCCCATTGTGAGCATTGTCATTGTGCCAACAAACCACACATTTCTGTTTACTTTTGTTTTCCTTTTCAACTGCTGACTTATATTAAAGGGATTGTTAAGAGGTTTTCTAAAGAGTTGTGTATTTAGTGGATAATGAACAATTTCAATAAATTAATTTTATATCAGATTTCTGCGGTTCTAACAATTCCACTAAAACTAGACGTTTTATGACTAAACTATCACACGAATTGATGTTGATATAAGAACATTTGCGATAGTGACATAGAACCCTTAGTTTTAGTGGAATTGAAGGACCACAGACGTCTGATGAAAAATCGGAAATGGTGATTATCAATACCAACAGTGTTCCCAATTAAGTACACAATTATTTTTAGAAAATCTCTTTAAAATCCCTTTAATTCAATATAGTGATCTAAATATTTTCTTTGCAAAAAATGCTCAAGAGCTAACCATATTACTTTTCAGAATAAAAATTCGACGTCAATTACAATTTAGCATTTTTCACTTTAAACTGACGGATCGACATTCTCGACATGTATTTGATAGGTCGCTTATTGTTTAAATTGAATTATGACATAGTTAAAATTCAGGAATTCTGTATCAATGGTTAAAGATCGCTTGACTAGAATACACTTGGGCAGCTTTCCGGCAGCGAACTCTTCCAGTTTATCTGGAATCAAACCATATTTGACCCTTTAATAGCTGTGCATCTTACTCTATCACCCTCGAAAAGTATTCATACCTTGAGGGGTACTTTAGAATATTTGAAATGTATTGTTAATGTATTATATGAGCATTAAAAATTCACGAGTTTTGCATCACTGTCATGGCCAAGTTGAAGAATCCGAAGACAGACACCCCGTTGTTGCACCTTGGACCTGAAGGTTAGCTGCCACCTCGAGTATAGTGTTAGGGGATACCAGGAGACAGAGTATAGTGTTATGAGGAACTAAGAGATAAGTATTTAGTTTAAGGGAGTACCAGGAGATAAGGTGTAACGTTAGGAGGTACCAAGAGATAGGGTTTAGTGTTAGGAGGTACCAAAAGATAGAGTATAGTGTTAGGAGGTACAAGGAGATAGGGTATAGTGTTAGGAGGTACTATGAGATATGGCATAGTGTTAAGAAGTACCGGTTTGGGTATCAAGTTTTTTTATAGATTAATTTTCGTATTGAAGTCGTGAACAGTCCAGACTAGGTTCCGTAAAAAAATCTCACATAACTATTTTACGACATAGCGTTTTCAAATAAATAACTTTTCTTTTTTGTTTTTCTACGTCGTCACGTCATATATCTTGACATGATTTGTAAGTACTCCGTTCGTTATGTCAAATTCTGACTTGGAACCTATCCGTCACTCGTCCTTCCGATCGCACGCCAGATATAAGAAGACGAGACGAAATAAAAAATATTTATTAGGTATAAAAAGCACGAATAGGAAAGGGTTATTACAATACTCAAGGATTTAATTTTTCGTTTTAAAGGTAAAATTTGCCTTTTTATTAAATATTAGCCTACATATTAACATAGGAATGAAAGGATTTTTTAAAGCTTATTTCAGATTTGTGTTTATTTATGGCCACTGAGTTTTGCGTCTGCCCTCATTTCAGCTTTTGGTGGCTGGCTTTTTGTTAGTTATTGAATGTATTTACATTGTTATGAAATTACAACAGGGGCCTAGAATATCTTTTAAGCCAAGAATTGTGTTTTTTAAGCTAAAAATTAATTTGTGTAAGCTAAAAATTTAGTTTGTAAGCCAAGGATTAAGTTTTATAACCCAAGAATTGGGTTAAGTAATTCGAGGATTTTAGAAGCCAAGGAAAGGTTTGTACGCCAAGATTTTGGTTTTGTAAGCCAAGAATTAGTTTTTGTAAACCGAGGTATTGTAAGTCAAAAATTAGGCTAAGTAATCCCTGGATTAGGTTATGTAAGCCAAGGATGAGGTTTTGTAAGCCAAGGATGAGGTTTCGTAAGCCAAGAATTGGGTTTTGTAAGCCAATTATTAGGTTATGTTAGCCAAGAATTGCGTTTTAAAAGCTAAGAATTAGTTTTTATAAACCAAGGATTAGGTATTGTAAGTCAAAAATTAGGCTAAGTAATCCCAGGATTAGGTTAAGTAATCCCAGGATTAGGATTTGTAACCCACTATGAGGTTTTGTACGCCGAGAATTAGGGTTTGAAAGCCAAGGACTAGGTTATGTTAGCTAAGGCTTGAATATTAGGTTTTATTAACCAAATTAATGGTGAGAGACAAAAATGGTGTTTTCTAAGCCAGAGATAAGGTTTTGTAAACCATGATTAGGTTCTAATATCCAGGCATTAGATAATTTGAGAAAATCATAAGGTTTTCCAAAACAACAGCTATATTCTGTAAGAAAGACAAAAGTTAACCTTTATTTCCAATTAACCTTTTTTTTCAATTAACCTTTGATTGAAGAGAATTGAACGGCCGATTTTAATTCTAGTAATAGCTGAAAGTGAGCTAGATCATGCGACAGGACAAGTTTAGACGACCTATAATCGGATTAGTTCGACCGATCGTTCCTTAGTCCCAGAAACGGGAATTTTTAGCAAAGTTTATTAGTAGTTGTGCTCATCGTCGAAATTTAAGCCTTCAAATCAATTATTGTCCAAAAGAATGGGCGTTTGAAAGATGAAACGGCGATTAATCTTTTCTTTAGAATTATAGGAAGGGAAAGCAAAGTTTTTAGTTGAAGTATATTTGAAGGGATTATGTGATTTTCGTGCAGTTCTAGTACCCGAAGCCTATTTATATATATTCAAGATCCAAATCTAACCCAAAGACGAACCATGGCTTTTAAGTCGTTATCAAACACGAAAAAACACACTTGTAACACGATTCAAAGAAACAAAAAGATAGAGCGTTGTCGTTAATTCTTGAAACATAATTTATTATTTTATTAAAACTCCATTAAAATGCTTGTCACGTAATGCGACGCGGAAGATATCGTGACGTTAAAGAGGATGTATGCACAATCTTTGACTTACACTTAATGGCGATGTTTATTGTATGCTGGAAGCTTCGTTTTATACATTGACTGCAATAGTCACCTTCTGTGTATCACGAACTGCAGGGATTTGGTTGGATTGTACATATACAATACAGTCAATCGTAGTTAACAGAAAGACTGTAAACAATAACCCACTTTGTTCACAGTCTATCTGCTATGATTGTATGTATTGAAACTATTGCAGTCAGGGTATAAGACGAATCTCGAAATATATTGACATTGTAAAGATGTTAAGGAGTATGCATAAGATTTGGGTTGGGGCAGGGGCCAGAAGAGAGGTTAACCCAGCTCTGCCCCACTTTCAAATTTCTCATAATTGTACATAGTGAAGGAATTACCTGTTGTCTAGGCAATTATTTGGCTCCTATTCAGGCCCCTGACCGAATGATTCATACAAAGGTCTCTGTGGCACACATCTAGCAAATGCTTAGTTTTGTTTATTTTCAATTTCAGACACAAATATGAAGATCACGTGGTGCTGTATGTTGTTTCTTGTAGCGGCAGGTGCGTATTACTTCCATGATCTATTCAACTTTTTAATGTCAAGCATCTTTTAACTTTTAATATCTTGACTACAATAGCATTTCTCTTTATCATAGAATGCAGCGAATGCAGTAGGATTGTACTCAAAGCAAAAAGCAGTCGATCAGAGCCCTTGACATACAGACTGTAAACATTTCGGCTTATTATCTCAGACTTTCTGTCTAGGCCTGTGATTGGCCGTAAACAACTGTTAAAATAGTTCTTAATACATCAATTATAGAGTGATATAGAAATACCACTGTTAGAATAGTGCTTTAGACACCAATTATAGAGTGATATAGAAATACCACTGTTAAAATAGTGCTTTAGACACCAATTATAGAGTGATATAGAAATACCACTGTTAAAATAGTGCTCAATACATCAATTGTAGAGTGATATAGAAATACCACTGTTAAAATAGTGCTCAATACATCAATTGTAGAGTGATATAGAAATACCACTGCTAACATAGTGTTCAATACAACAATTTTAAAGCTATATAGAAATACCACTGTTAAAAAAGCACTCAATGCCTCAATTGTTGAGCTATATAGAAACACTGTTAGAATAGTGCTCAATACAAAAATTTTAGAGCCATATAGAAATACCACTGCTAAAATAGTTCTCAATAACATTGCAGAACTATATATAAATATTAAACAGAAAATGAAACATGTTGTTACTATATATTAAAACAGAACATGAAACATGTTATTACTTAGCACTTTCTGTTCTAATATTTCTATTATTTTATTTATGTCAAATCTCTATAGATCCGTATAACACCAGGTACCATTGACCCCTCTCTAACACCAATGCTGTTATGATTCTTCGGGAACACCTAATGTACTTTGCGAATGGGTCAATTCGACATTTCTATCAAAGAGTTCAGATCGTTTCATTTTTGGGTATTGGTCTACATTGATATGCGATTATATATTATTATGTTATATCTTTTTCAGTTTCTGGACAAACTGCCTTCGACCCTTTCGCACCCGCAGGAAACCCACAGCCTCCTGCTGATCCAAACTTGGTCAACCTCCAGAGCTCCTTTTCCACCCAACTACAAAACCAAAATCAAAACTTGCTGAACCCAAATGTAATTGTAGCAAGTAACCCAAATTTTCCCCAAAATCAAAACCCAAATTTGATAAACCCAAACAACCCAAATATGATGAACCCAACTGATCCCAATATGATGAACCCAAACAACCAAAATATGATGAACCCAAACAACCCAAATATGATGAACCCAAACAACCCAAATATGATGAACAACCCAAATATGATGAACCCAAACAACCCAAATATAATGAACCCAAACAACCCAAATATGATGAACCCAACTGACACAAATATGATGAACCCAACAGACCCAAATATGGTGAACCCAACAGACCCAAATATGGTGAACCCCACCGACCCAAATACAATAAACCCAATGAATGACCCTAACCTAGGGGGCGCAACAGTGCAAAACCAGAACCAAAATCAAGCCATTCAGCTTACACAACCTCAAGGCAGCATATTACAAAACTTTGCTATGCAGCAACAGCAACAACAACGGCGGCAGACCAATCCTATGCAGCAATTAATGTATATGATGTTGTGGGCTGATTTATTTTAAATCCGACATTTGCTGGCCGACATCTGTCAAAAAGTGATTTTCTGAGGACCGGAAAAGACCAGCAAGCTCGAGATAAATGTAATTGGGAAAAAGCCGCAAATCTACGATGTATTTAATCTTTATTTTAAGCAGCTTACTTCAATCAATTTAGATCTAAAGACATTTATGCTAGAGATGAGTTCACAACCAATCAACCTGCTGTCAACAGTGTTTTTATTATCTGTATTAATCGCGTTATGAGGTCCACCGTCGTTGATACCATGCACAATTGTCATTAAATAGATGGGACAGTGAATCACTTTATCCAAATAGCTTAGACATTTTTCATACGGGTTGACCGTACTTGTATATTATTCACATGTGGGTGTGTTCACGCTTACAGATTTACAAATAAAGAAATGATTAAAAGGTTATTTTAGAATGTGTTAATTGCCCTTTATAAAAAAACAACTGATACCAAGGGTATCTATTATGTATTTAAAATACGAGGCTTACCTGCTAGAAGGAATCATGGTAGAACTATGTAATAGTGTCGGACGTGTTGAAGAATCAGAACAAACAAGCGTGATGTAAGGATATCATTTTTCTAAAACGAATGAAGTTATCCTCAACAATGAAAAAAAAAAACGAAACGCAATATCTATAAAGATTGATATTGAATATATTCAAATGGCTCAATGATTTGTTTTGTATATACTGCAATCATTATGTTGTATGACTTATCAATTCTATCTATTTTATAGGGGTTGTAAAGAGGTTTTCTAAATTCTTTATGTGCATCGGAGACACTGATAAAATCAATTTTCACTTTTCAAATTTTCAATCAGGCGTCTGTGGCTCCTGCAATTCCACTAAATCTAGGTAATTGATGACGTCATTAATCGCAAAATATGCTTTTTCACAAAAGGCCTTTGTGATCTGTGACGTCATCAAACACATATTCATTTTAGAAAACCTCTTTGTAATCCCTTTAAGATATTTTGAAAAAAAAAATTCAGGGCTGTCTGGTGAGTGGTTCATACACCTATATTGGCCTACTACCCATAACAGTTTTCATCAATGTGGTTGGCATACAAAACCTTTTTCTCTTGCGATATTTACTTTCCATATATATTTAACATAAATTCCATAATGTAATCAATTTGTACAAATATAATAGTTTTAATATGCTATTTAAACTTGTTAAAAGTCTGTGTTTGTTTTTGTTTATTCCATGTAACCTTTGATCAACTTCTAATATTGTATGGAGGGTATACTACTCACATAACTTACCACCCTTGATACTATATGATTAGGATACTCACATAACTTACAACCCTTGATACTATATGATTAGGGTACTCACATAACTTACAACCCTTGATACAATATGATTAGGATACTCACATAACTTACAACCCTTGATACAATATGATTAGGATACTCACATAACTTACAACCCTTGATACAATATGATTAGGATACTCACATAACTTACCACCCTTGATACTATATGATTAGGATACTCACATAACTTACAACCCTTGATACTATATGATTAGGGTTCTCACATAACTTACAACCCCTGATACAATATGATTAGGATACTCACATAACTTACAACCCTTGATACAATATGATTAGGATACTCACATAACTTACAACCCCTGATACAATATGATTAGGATACTCACATAACTTACAACCCCTGATACAATATGATTAGGATACTCACATAACTTACCACCCTTGATACTATATGATTAGGATACTCACATAACTTACAACCCTTGATACAATATGATTAGGATACTCACATAACTTACAACCCTTGATACAATATGATTAGGATACTCACATAACTTACAACCCTTGATACAATATGATTAGGATACTCACATAACTTACAACCCCTGATACAATATGATTAGGATACTCACATAACTTACAACCCCTGATACAATATGATTAGGATACTCACATAACTTACCACCCTTGATACTATATGATTAGGATACTCACATAACTTACAACCCCTGATACAATGTCATTGATGTGGATAGTGTCTGGATTGTAGAGCCTAAGTATACTAGGCTTATACAGTAAAAACATTTTATTTAGAGGAGTTGGTTTCACCATGTAGCTCTTAAAGGGGCGGTTCGCCATCCATATGTCCAATAGTAACAGTCTCAGAAACAGAATTTTGTTTAACTAAGCTCATCAATAATAACTAATAGTGTGCGCAGCTCGCTTTCGATATTTTAGCCTTCAAGTGGATGTGTTTGTTCAGAATTATTCGCGTTTGAAAGTTAAAAGACGACTCGACTCCGTTCATATTTAGAAAAGAGATATAAAGAAATAGACAGTGAAATATGTAGTTTGAGGTATATTTGAGATGATTATGAGATTTTCGTGTAGTTTTAGTACTGTACATGTATTTCTGAAAACTATTTACATAAATATATTTCATATTCATGACCCGAATCAAGCCCAGAAAATCGAAAACCATGGCCTTTAAGTATTTGGTAAATCGAGATAGGTACAAATACATTAAAAACAAGAGGTGAAATTTGCACATTTATTCACAAAACTATAAGTTACGATATGAAAGGGATAAATTAAACATTTTTATTAACATAACAACAACTCCATCTGACTAAATAGTCATGGAATGGGTCTTAACTGGTCGCCTTTAGCAGTTTTACAACAGAAAAAGAGACAAAGCAACAATTTAAAAGCACTTAACGCATTAGACCGAGGCCGTTATATTTCTTTGAAGAATCGGCAAAATTTAGGTATCCGATTCGACACACACAAACTAAGTTTTGATCAGCGGTGATCGGATAAAACTTGTGAGCATAAAATCGAATATAATCAATGCAGTAACATCACCAATCTTCTTATTGTGTGTTTAAGATTTTTAAATTACAAAGGTCTGTTTTATTTGGGTCGATACAAAATAAAACGCACGAGCAAGTTTCAAGAAAGGACACCTTCTTTAGATATCCAAGCTAGATTTTAAGTTTATATTTGTCTACTTTGTTATGGATTTCACACTTCCAATTTTGTGTCTTTCTTTCAAATTTTTAAAATTCCTCAGATTCCCATGATTCACTGCTGCCTCCTGCACCACCGACCATCATTAAAAGAGCTGGATCAATACCTCCAAACATTCCACCAGCGGCTCCCATTGTACCAGCTGCTCCCATTGCACCAGCTGCTCCCATACCACCAGCTGCTCCCATTCCACCAGCTACTCCCATTCCACCAGTTGCCCCCATTCCACCAGCGATCCCCATACCACCAGCTGAGCCCGCTACAGCCGCAGCAGCTGCAGCAGTTGCAGCAGCATTCGATTCAGCGTTAGATACTACATTGTGTGTGCTGGCCATCCATTGATAACGCCCTCCTTGAGGGCTTGTGGAGTCTGGGATCCATTGGTAGTATCCTTGACTGGAACCACTTCCAGCTCCAGAGGAGGATACCCAGACGTATTTCCCTTGTCCTGATGCATCAGTGATCCACTTCCATTGTCCGGCGCCAGTTCCAGCTGAACCCGCTTGACCTAAGCTGCCAGCCTGTCCAAGACCAGCTGCAGATCCCACAGATCCTTGGTTATAGAAAGCGTTCGTGGCTGCTGAACTAAGTCCGGAAGACTGCCAAACATATTTTCCCTTACCAGAGGCATCAGTGACCCATTTCCATGATCCTTGGCTGCCTGCCCCTCCGACTTGTCCAGTTGATCCTGCTTGACCTGTACCGCCTTGACTACCAAAAGCACCACCTAAAGTTCCGTATTGGCCAGTCTGGGCACCACTGGCGGTTCCGTATTGGCCAGTCTGAGCACCACTAACGGTTCCGTATTGGCCAGTCTGGGCACCACTGGCGGTTCCGTATTGGCCAGTCTGAGCACCACTAACGGTTCCGTATTGGCCAGTCTGGGCACCACTGGCGGTTCCGTATTGGCCAGTCTGTGCACCACTGGCGGTTCCGTATTGACCAGTCTGAGCACCACCTACGTTTGAGCCTCCGGACATACCAGCTTGATTCAACCATGTGCTTAATGCTGCACCAGTCAATCCTTGTTGAGTCGATCCAGATCCTGTGGATAACATACCACTGAGCATGGCAGGGTTGAATTGAACACCACCTGGTAAAGGCATTGCCCCTGGCATAGGCATAGAAGGGAAAGGCATAATATTTGGCATAGATGGGAAAGGAATTGGTTGCTTATATTGGTTAGTTCTGATGAAGTATTGGTATACTGGTTTTCCATTGTCATATCGCACAACTTCTCTGGAAATCTGGTAGTCCATTGTTCCGTTGACGTTAAATCCGCCTTGTGGGAATTGTGGTAAAGGCATTGGAAACCTTGGCATGTTTGGTCCAACTATAAAAGGACTTCTTCCTCCAAACATACTGTTCATCATCTGTTGGGTCATCATGGATGAGGACGAGCTGCTCTGAGAACCGCCTTGGGAGCTTCCGCCAGTACCGGATACTTTGATGTTCATAATTGGTGCTGGGAAGTTGACGCCTTGTGGACGCATGTTCCCCATGAACTGTAAATCATTTAACCAGTTTCCGGAACTACCCATCGATCCGCTGGATCCGCCCCAGGATCCGCTTGATGAACCCCATGATCCACTTTGAGATCCGCTGCTTTGAGAATTCATCCCTCCAGAGCTTCCAGTTTCTGCACCCCATCCGCCATTAGAAGATTTGGTCCATTTGAGTATCAGTGGATTGAATGGCAAGGTGACTTTAAATTTACCAGAAGATGTTCCGGAAGTGGCGATGTTACCACTTCCAGCTTTGCTTCCACCTAAAAAGGCATTCATCATTGCATTTGTGTTACTGGCACCCATTCCACTAGTACCTATACCACTGGCACCAATCCCGCTAGCAACCATACCATTAGCGCCCATTCCACTAGCACCCATGCCGCCCCCACTAGATCCACTGCTACTCCATTGAAAATTCTGCTGACCAGATCGGAAGTTCATTCCACTTCCAGGAACTACTTCGACAGCTGCAATATAAAAAATAAAACTAGTGTTACAGATATAACAGATATATCCACTAAGAACTCAGCCTAATAATGCCCTTGCAACATGTATTTCAGATACATAATCGTCATCTGAACAATTTGTTTCTGAAAATGATGTTGCTTTCGAAAGGAATCCAACCGAAAAATGACCGAAAGATAACAAAAAGCTGTTCCGTTATTTTGGGGCTTTTTCGTATTATACATGTATTCACTTTATGTGCCGATGTACACAACAAGTTTAAAAACCTTTGCTAACCACGACTCGACGCTTTTTCCTCTCACTGACAGTAGAAACAGACCTGAAAGATCTGAATCTATATCCCAATCTCATTTCAATGTAAGCTATTATGAACTTCGCCTTATATCTTGACTTCAAAAGCCATTATTCTTGTATTATGAAAGTTTGTAAATGCGGTGATTTGATTGGATTGCACGGTAGCGAATACAGCCAATCACAGAATATCTTTATAAACAATAAACCATAATGTTTACAGTCTTTTAGTTGAGAGCTTTTGAGTAGCTGTATTCGCTCACGTACAATCCAAACAATTGCTGCATCTACACACTTCTTTGATACAAGAATAATGGCTATTGCAGTCGAGATATGAGTTCGTAATAGTTTGACATTGTGAAGATGTGTCGGGCCTAACTATGGACCTCCAGGAAGACGAAGAGAGTAATATAAATACAAACCATTACAATGACAGCTAGTCTTATTGAAGATTTGAGCAGCTGGACACATTCTTAAGGTTTCTTTACCATTGACTGTTTCATAGTAGGAGAACGGGTTGACAGGATTTTCACGCCTGTTACATTCTGGAAATAAAACACACAGTGAGCAAAACGCAGAGATAAGCTAAACGCACAGATCAGCAAAACACACAGAACGCAAAAACTTTGCATCAGAAAGTCAAAACCCAGAGGTCTATTCCAAATATCGGAAACTATTACATATTTCTAACGTGGGTCCCTTTAGAACATAAACCTCGTATTTGGAAATGAAATTCACGGAGTTTTACTTCCTACTCTTCTGCACCTCATTGGGTTAACAAAAACAGGAAATGCCATGCAGTGTGCAATCAGCTTGCACGTAACAGTTTGAATAAAACATGAACAAAAACGCGAAACTCTATACGATCCTCTCAAAGCTTTTTGATTGGTTAACATTCAAGGTTTCAAACGAAGCTGAATATAATGAACCACGGTCCAATCTATTTTTGTTGTGGGGGTGTGGTTTAGAAAACGATGATCAAAACCAAATGTAAGCTTACTAATTCTTTCGTAGAGGAAATCGTGTAATTTTGAATTATCAAAGAGTTTACAAACGATGTAAAACAAGAATTACCAGATTTCAGAAACTTGATAATTAATCTTTTTTTCATATGATTAACATTTTGCCTCGGGTCTATATTTCCTATTTATGGCTTCCGGTGAACATTTATTCAAATTTTAGAGTTTTACACTTGATAACTGGCTGGGTTCTATCAGCAATCTATATCACATTAAAAAATGAAAACTTGCTCCGGGACTAGCTGTTTCTATCTATGACTTTCGGTGAACATTTGTTCAAATCTTAATTTGAAATTTCTCTGATTTAAAAACATTTGCCTTAATAACGAGTGACGTCTCTCAATCTCAGCTTTGATTATCACATTTCAAGGTGGAAATTTGAGGTCCAGTTCGTAAAATTAAGTGCGAAAAACTACCGTAGAAGGATTTAGGATTTACTATTGAAACAACAGTTTCGCATAAAACGTCAGCATTTATTGATAGTCAATGTAAAAAAGTAACAATTATACGATTTGCGATCATTTTCTATCTAAGGATTGTTTTTGAGAAACACGGTTCAGGCCATCATTAACATTTGTTCATTGTAGATTGACAGGGTGTCATATTATCATTCTACACAATAATACGGATCGTTCATCTAACTGCTAATAAAACAAATATTAACACGGCCATATTCGTTTCTCTACCCTCTTTTCAACTTCGGATCGACCGCCCAAAGTTTGTTGTGGGCTGTTACCCTACTGATCGAAAACAAAACTACTTACGTGAATGTCCAGCACAAAAAACTTCAGCAATCAACACTCCTAGAATTAGTACTGTTAAACTTGTCTTTATTACCATTTTAAAATTCTGAAATTAACAATTAGAATTCCGTGTTTATTTTCTTTTGACCTAAAAATTGGAATTCTAACTCTTCAAAATTTCTGTACATTTTTCTAAATCGCAAAATGAGTATTTTTTCCATTTTGTGGATAACCTTGCAATAATATTCGCTAAAAATACTCATCTAAGCAAAGTTACGATTTATTCCACGTCTAACCGTTGCTTTCACAATTCCACATTTTCGTCATTAGAGAATAATGACCTCCCTTGGTAGACCAAACGTTGGTGTAAAAGGATAGTGATTGGAAATCGGCTTCCATTGAATTATCGGAAGTTGTTGCAGTTTTGCATCACCCCCATATTCCTTAATATTCACACTCTTCCGTCCAGCTTTAAAACGGTTTTATTTTTCCGGTAAAGGCGAAATGGAAATGGAATTCACATGTCATTTTAAATATTTATGAATATTCTGATGTAAGGTGTAAGGATTATAGAAAAAATTCTTTTCATTCATAATGTGTTAATAATAAAAAATTGCACACTGTCCCTTATAAGAAAGCAACCAAAATTCTGAAGAAAAAAACAAACTAATTGTAAAAACTTGCCTGGTGTTCTAGAACTGTTCTATTACTGGTAGTAACTCGAAAATGAGCCGAAACTTGAATGAAATTTGGTTAAAAAGGATGAATTTAAAGGATTGTTAAACCTGTTCTGCGTCTCGTCTTGCAACCTTCTCTTTCATCTTAGCCGAGATATAGTCGTCATCTTTTCCGCGACTGGCGACCTCTCCCTTCATTCCTATCACGAACAAACACCCTTTATTCGACTGGGCTTCATCAATTAACGTTATTTCCAAAACTAGTTCTTGGCTTAAAGTGTGTCTGTGCATGGTGGAAAATTGATGCTTTTCCTCAAATGGTTGTCATGATTTTCATGTCTCATGTATTTCTGTCTGTTGATTGCAAAATCGTGCAGAAACATCAGCTTTGATATAAAATTAAATGGAGTTTTACATCCTATTTCTATTTGTTGATTGGGTTGATAAATCCTCACAATGTCAAGCAATTACAAACTTTATCTTATACCTCGACTTCAATAGCCATCTTTATTGTAGCATGGAATGCAATGTTTTGATTGGATCGTTCGCTTGTGAAATCTATTCCGTCAAGTTGTTGCATTTACAAACGTATTTTATACAAGTGTGCAGTCAAGGTATAAGATGAAGTTCGTAATAGCTTGACATTGATGGGATTATTGAAGACAGACAACTCTTTGCAGTGTGAACATAAAACTGCCCGTTCACCAAGCACAGCTAGCTTGATGGACAGAATAATTTCGAATGACATTGTCTAATGAAGAAAACTTTGCTTCAACGTCACCATTAGCCTAAACCTTTTTTATTCACACTTTAGGCGATCTTTAGCTTTCAGCAAGGGTTGTAAGAAGAACGTACCTCGCTCCCCTAGGAACCTGTATAGAATACAACAAACAAATGAACGGATGGTGTCACATCAGAAATAATATGTACAAAAATGTGGCGTCAAAAAAATTCAAAATGTCTGAATAATGTATCGAATTTGTAAAATCTGAAATTAGTGATATTTGAATGTTTGACGAATAGAAATTGATGAAGAATGAAAATTTCAGACGTAAAAAACTGGGACATTTAAAAATTTGTGACGCTTGATTATTTTTCAAATTAGAAAAAATTAGAATAAAATTGCCCCGTGTTTCTACTATTGTGTCGTTTTTCAATTTATAGCCATAGGCTTGTTTGTTTGTATTGTGCATTTCTCACACTAACAACCACGCTTAGCCTATATATTTTGTAGTTTCACGACTGTAATTTTTCTCATCCACGGCATCCTGAAAATCGGATTCCAGGGAAAGATCAATCGCAGAACGACACCAGTTGCCAAGAATTACAAAGGATTGAAAAGAATATGAATTTTATTTGTGAAAAAAGGGAACTTTAATTGAAAATATAGCAGACGATAAATTCAAAATTCATGTACACGACAAGTGAGTTTTATTGAAATCCGAAGTTAATAGCCTATATCTATAAGATAGATGGACAAGTTAATCGTGGCTTTGTTTTTCGCAAACCAGACACGTTCAGTTGTGTCCATGTGAAACCATTTGTCACTCGATGTGCTTCTTACATATTTGGCCTACATATAGGGTTAATCTCGGCCAACGAAAGGGTGTGATGATGTCACGCAGTTTAACTCTTTCTTTTCCGGTTGGTTCATTCAGTGAGCAAAAGAAGATGTTTTATAAGTGCCATGATTACTAGATTCTTTCAATATTGACTACAGCTCATCTGATGATGCTAAATTTCAGCCATAAGGGTCCCTTTTCAGAATAAAATATGATGTTTGGTACGTCGTAAAGGATAAAATACTACGCATCCTGGAAGTATTCCAGATATTTACTCGAATGTCCGCATAATGATTATAAAGTGACTTCCGGTTGTGTCATATGAAGTAAAAGAGTATTTCATAAATAAAAGAAAGAGAAAGAAAGAATTATATTTTATAAAACGTGGAATCGCAATTAAGGTCGTTGACTGGTTCGGTTTATGATTTGAAAATATGGAATTATTAAACATTGATTTCCTGAGACTGGTTGTGTATTTTATAAAGATTTTATGTTCTCAGACAATTTGACAGCCCTTCAAACAAGTCATGAAAATTGTATATTTCAAACCTTCAACATAAGATTAAAAAAAGATTATTGGATCAATTATAAAGCGAAGAAACTATTTTTTTTCAGGTTTTTTTTTTCGTTTTGACGGAAAAAATTTTTGCAGGGGCCAAACTAATTGGAATTTTCTAAAAAAACATCCTCTTCCTTATGGAATAAGCTTTCTAACAGGACCAAGTTCGTCTACTTCACACAACAAATGACTGTTTAATCTTCTATTAAACTAGGCAGATTGTTATACTCGAAATTTCTACTAAAACTAACCAGATACATAAATTGTTGTATTTATTTTCTTTCTATATTATTTAAATATAAATCAATAATGATTATCTCTATTAAATACCCGAAAATAAATAATTAATTAACCAATGTGTTGAGCGACAGTGCAAACAGCCTTAATTTTGCACCGTCAGACAGCGACACGTTCCCTTTGCTTGCGAATCATTTTTTAGTCTTTTGATTCAGTATCCCGTTCATTTTGTTTCGTTTATTGTTGTTTTCTAAAGCTAGACTAACACAGTGTCCCAACAAAAGGAAATTGCCACGCTTTTGTTCACATCCCTTGTTTAGACTCCCGCCACGTGCAATTACGTAAGCTGATTTCCAATAACAAGTACACCAGGCCGAGTAGTCTCGAAACGATGTCCTAGAATCAATGTTAGATGATAAGAACCTAGGACATCCTAGCGGTAAGATCGTTTCGAGAACACGTGGCCAGAGTCATAAGTAAACAGTTCTTCGTTCACAAACACCAAAAAGTAAAGCAGAAGTCTTTCACAAACAGATAAACAGCTTTGTTTACGTTGGTGCTTGTTATGCCTTGGAAGCCTTCTCTTTTTACTCCAATTTGCCATTTTCTATTGATATTGACTTCAAGGGCCTGTGGCACAGGCAACCCACTTAATGATACTTTCTACCAGATGGCTTTTTGGTCAAAGCCCTTGGAATTGATCTTTCCCGAATTATCAACACCCCTTTTCAGATGGGTCGACTGGAATTACGAGTGAAGATAACTTATTCACTGTCATCGTACTTTCACACGCCGAACGAGATTAAAACCCATAACCACCAGTAAAGTAAATGCCGTCCTATATAACAAACACTCTAACAAACCTTACAAAAGTTGGACGTAAAGCTCCATTTCGATTTATTTCATTTACATGCAGGTTAATGGGTTTAGGACTAGTGTGGGTTTGATTGATAGGTACCGTGATTTGAAACATAATTAGAAGTACGGCTAACCTCTGTGTTATTCTGTTTGAATCGAATTAACCCCAATTTCATACAATAGACATTATTTCATTTGGTTTATTTTGTATGCAGGAATGCCTTAACAACAGCATATCTTTCATTGGCTCAGTTCAGGTCCAATGGGAAGATACCAAATGTCCCATTGTATATCTATCAAAACCACTAAGTTACAATGAATACAAAGAAGATTTTACAGTTAGTTTTATAAATATATCTTCGAGACAATTCCACAGGTTACTTTCCTTGATGGGGGTTTAAGGTTTCCTCGTTTATGCTTGGTGCTACTTGTTGCTGGTGCTTCATACATGTATTGTTGTTTTGACTCGGTGTTATATTTTGGAAGATGGAATTTTGTTTGTTTCTATTGAAAATGATTGAAAAGAAGTTTTCTGGCCTTCCTGTCATTGGAGGAGGGAGGGGGGCTTAGCTTTAGCTTCTATTGCTATAGTGATATGATAACTTAAATAAAGTGGTTTGGAAGGAAACACAGAAATTGGACTCTATTCCATTTCAATATTGAAAGGCCTTTACCATGGACATCATCAATATGGGGTTAATCCCCCCTTCTTTTGGAGAAAATTAAGTCAAAGATGCAAAACTGGGCTGTTTTCTGAAGGCTTCGATTCATTACTGAAATAACAATTACATATTTATACAGATATACTTTAGAATGCATCAATTCAAGGTCAAATTTCAAATTGAAATGAAAGCAACCCCAAATCCCCACTCTAGTAAAAATTCCGCGGACGCCTTTGACTTTACTAAAAAGCAAAAAACGACCGTGGCCATACTGATAAATATTTCGGGGGTCAAAAGGACACAGTATGTGGATGAAGAAAACACATTGTTTACCAAAATCAATTTTTGAATAAAGACAATCTAATCAACAATTGATCAATTTTTATTGTTGTTTTGTTGACCCCAGACAAAACGACCTGAGGTGTTTTTCTTTTAACATAAATGTTATTACACTTATAACTAAATAAGCTTAATTTCAGCATCCTGTATCACATTTCAGAGTCAAAATCAGACTTCGTTAATATCACATTTCAGAAGGTGGACCCTTCTCAAACCCAAAGCAAATGAGCTAATGGCTCAGTACCAGTGGTGGCTGCAGAACTGTGGGTATAAAGAGGGTGTTGGATCCGCCTCTGCTCTGTGCATAGGGTATAGTTCGATTATGGGGCTTTCAAACAATGGTTGTAAACAAATGGAGGTCGCAATATTTGAAAGAGCAATTTCCTACATCACGCACTATTAAAATGCATGGAGGACAGTTAAAATTTTGACCATTAGAATGGATGACACACAAATTGATAATTTTGGTAAAATTGGTTTGCACACCGAATTGTACCCCACTTTATTTCTTTACGAATTAGCCCAAAATATGTGTTTGAATGAACCTAATCTATTTTCAAAGCCCCCCCCTCATTTTGTCATTACCCTCTATACGTATCCCAAATCTCCAGAGACCTAGAACTCATTTTCATTTTAGTTCCAAACTGTCCAGTTTGCTGGTGTTCAAGGTCAATAGCTTCAAGCAATCTCAAATAAAGAAAATACAATGATTTAACGGCCTTTGTTTGTTTATTTTACAGTCCTTTTTGGCCAAATCTTGCATATTTTTCAGCGAAAATAATAGATTGTTTACGCGCAAAATTTCATTGTAAACAATGAACGAAATGGTATAAATACAGGTGGTCTTATCAGAATCAAACACTACAATTCGATTTCGCACTGCAAAGAACAACTAACAGTTTTTTAAAAGTATAACTGCTTTCGATACTGCTTCAAAATGGTTAACACAGTGGTTGTTGCTTTGTTCGTTTTAGTCGCTGTGATCACAGTCTCCGATGCACAAATTGCAAGTAAGTGTTGTTTTGAATTTCAATTGAAAAGGAACAGTTCAGGATCTATTGGACCAATGAAACATTAGTCTCAGTAATAGTATTTACAGCTCATCGATATTTGGTTCAACCTTCAACACATATGTCCAGATTTATATGAGTTTGAAATTGAGAACAAAAATATATGATCACAAAAATTGACAAATCTGTGTACAAAAGGATAAGGAATATCTTACACATAAATATTATTTTTTTAAGATTGCCTGTTCTTTTTCTTTACTTATGTCTTAGCTGATATATACATAAACATTTTAATTTATTTTGTAGATTGTTTAACTACTGTTGGATGTGGGGGTGCGAACCGAGGTTTCTGTGACCCCACTGGAGCCGTTACCCCCGGAACTGGAACCTGCAGATGTTACCGGGGCTTCTATCTCAACCCCACTAACCCTACTCTTTGCCAAGGTAAGAATTACCAGATATAGTCGAGAATAGATATTCTACCACAAGACAGTCGACTGCTCAAGTTAATAATTTGAATCATCGGTGGATGTGAAGTTATATATTAGCTCGACTATTAACTGTGATATGTTAAAAGTTTTACGTCCTATGTTTTTACTATAATTGGGTTATTATTTGCGGGAAACGTCATGCAGGTTGCAATGAAGAAAAGTTATACCTGGACAGCGGCATTAACCTTATTATATAAGGAATATCCCGGGACGCGTGTTTTAACTGAGATACTGTGTTTAGGTTTAAATCAAGTATGATTTACATCCACGATGTCGACCATATAACTTGTTCTGTTACAGATATAAACGAATGTATCGTATATCCCTGTGGTAGAAACATTGGCCGAGTTTGTATTAATACCATCGGTAGCTTCTATTGTCAATGTAAGTAAAAACCAAATTAAATTCATGATATTATGAAGTTATAGTTTAAATCAAATAATAGGAGAATTCCCTGAATCCACTTTTCATAGTAGTTGTGTGGTTGTGAGATATTCATATCATAGTTTTTAAAGAGTTAGTTGTAAGTCAACCAAAAATTGTGCTTATATTCCTGTTACAATCAAAGTATCCGAAACTGGCTAGTCTTTGCCGTAACTAATAATGTATGTCTTTCTTTTTTGCAGACAATAGTAACAGCTTCCAGAATTTGTTAAACTATTACTATATTTCCGAACTCTTGGACTAATGCCGTTAAAGTGGAATTTCATGAGAAAAAAAACAACAAAAACAACAAAAACCAGCAGAATCAAATCTCAAGTTCAAGGAAATGAACTGGAAGTTTTCAATCAATATTTCTTATCTTAATTATTCTAAAGAAATGGGATAACATTTTGAAATTTTGAAATCGAATGACGTCATCTTGTTTTATATTATATATGTAAAATATTAATACATGTATGCTAGACTTGTTATGTAATGTTGTATTTGTATATTAAGTGTAAAATATTAATACATGTATTCTAGATTTGTTATGTAATGTTGTATTTGTATATTAAGTGTAATATATTAATATGCTAGATTTGTGATGTACTGTTGTATTTGTATATTAAGTGTAATATATCAATATGCTAGATTTGTGATGTAATGTTGTATTTGTATATTAAGTGTAATATATTAATATGCTAGAATTGTTATGTAATTATGTATTTGTGTAAAACATTATTGTATTGTGATTTCTTTTTGTATGTTGTAGTAAAATAGTTAAAATTAAAAAGAAATGTTTTAGTTGCGATATTGTTCGAAACATCTACCTCTATTCGAGCCTCTGAAAGCTATTTCGAAATGTGTCCTTTGGAGTAGAAAAACGGAAAACGCAGAAAAACGTGATCACATTTTAGGTGATTTTCCGCACCTTACAAGGTGTGTTATTTACATCAAGATGTTGAAATGAAAGTTCTATAAGATATTAAGATTTGAATTTTTATTATTCAATTAAATCAGAAAAAAATGAGATCCAAATTGTAGAAAATAATAAAAATGTATAGAGATAGATAAAAAAAGAACAAGAAATAAAAAAAAACGAAACATAAGAATTGAATTTGGAAAAATAATAGGGTTAAAAGTATAATAGTCATCTAATATTTCAATTTACAAACTGATAGAATATCAACTATCTGTTCTGTAGCTATGTTTTAACGAAAATCGGATGTTCCGATTCTACATTCAAATCAAACGTGGTGGTGAAGGTTATGATAATCTTTAAGAGTCCATAAAATGTTTATTTTCGTTTGTCAGCAAGAAGTCGCAAGAGACTGTATGGAATGGGCTGCTGTTGTTGACGTTGACGGAAGGCAGAGCATGCTGAAAAAGAGGCGGAGAAGGACTTCAATTCAATTTTAATCATAAAATACTCAAAGTTAGGAAAATTATTTATTTCATGCGAGAGCTTGACATTGGTCTTGATTTTTGATATGGTTAGACCTCGCATTACGGAGAAACATTATATTTAGAAATAAATGGGATCGAATTCTGTACAGAATATATTTAAAATACTTACGAAGACAAGAATAGGTTCCCAAGAAATTACAACATCCTGTTTGCTGATTACAAAGAGTATCATATTCTACACATTCATCGATATCTTGAAACAAAACAAAAAACACTCTAGTGACGTATTGAATGGAGGGTCCATAGGTGATTGGGGATGGGGGGTCTTTTGTTCAGTCATCGATATCACTCAAGTTACGGAGTAATCCGGAACATTTGCGCCTACTCTGATAGATATTTTGACATTGATTAGCCGCCGACATCTTTCAAAATAGCAATCAGAGGCTGGAATAGAGGTAGATGTCTCCGTCTAGTAATATTGATCTGGATAGTCTGAGAAAACAGTTGATGCGAGACAGTTTTACTTGCCATAATGATAGTTTCTGTAATCCGATTGGGTGCCAAGTTTGCATCATTGGAAGACAAAAAAAGTGAAAAAATGGAATGCAGTTTCACGTCCCACTCTTCTGTCGCTAATGAAGATAGACTTACCAACACAGATTCTGGGAGTACCGGATGGTTTATAACCTGGTTCACATTGACAAACTGCCTGGTTTAAAGCATTTACCGTACAGAATCCATTGATACATGTAACAGTATCACAAACTGAAAGACAAAATAAATACAATTGATATATACATACTTTACAAAATCCAAGCTAAGAGTGGAAACGGGTTTCCGTATCTAATCTTCACCTGTGTTGCTGCTTATAGAAATTACACAGTACCCTTCAGTAGTTATTGCTGGATTGCTCTACTAGGCTTTCGCCATACCTAACGCTTTTCTTTAATTACAGACTTACTATTCGTCGGATTTTCATTTTAAACATTGATTGTTGGATGGAGACAAATATTTATCTTTTTGTGTCCTATCAGTCACTTCCACTGAAAGTCTCCAATCACTATCAGTCGAAAGGATTCTAAAAAGTAGCCTATTAATACTTACCACTGACTCCTTGACCTTGAATAACGACAACGCCAACTACGGAGAAGAAAACAGTTACTAATGCGTTCATGTTGATTTGATTTAAATCGTCGAATTGAAACTTCGTTGTTGCTTAGAAATGCTTCTGTTACTATTAGATATCTTAGCAGTTTACGAATGCTAGTCTAACCCAAGTATCTCCTATTTATACACTAAATCTATACCAGTTTTTGTCTTTCGATGTGTAAACAAAAATATTTTTAATTACTATATCTAATTACTAATTATAATGTTTTTGATATTGGGTCAATGAGTCAATGGTTTAAGTTAATTAAGATTTCAAAACAAGATTTTTTTTCACCAATGAACGTATCTTGAGAATTGCAGAGTTGGAGTTGATTCTGATATCTATTCTTCTTTGCATTCTATTCATTCCATTCTTAAATTTGACCCATGAGCGATTGTGTGGCACATTAAGTGCAATAAAGATTTTTAATTTGACGAAAATCGTGGAGTACTGGATGGTTTATATCCTGGTTCACATTGACAAACTGCCTGGTTTAAAGCATTTACCGTACAGAATCCATTGATACATGTAACAGTATCACACATTGAAAGACAAAATAAATACAATTGATATATAGATACTTAAAAAAAATCCTTGTTCTTGGTGGATTGCTCTACTAGGCTGTTGTCATACCGAACGCTTTTCTTTAATTACAGACTTACTATTAATCGGATTTCTATTCTAAACATTGATTGTTGAGTGAAGACAATTATTTATCTTTCCTTGGGCTATCAGTTAATCCACTGATACATTTCCATTGCAAACCTACCATTAGTTTTCATTCTGAAACTTGATACGTTTAGCCGACAATGAGCGTTATTGGTTCGTCGTGAATGTAAATATTTAGACGACTTATATTTCTTTATGAGCTATATTTGAAAGGGAAATTCCATAAAACACGCACTATTAAAATGGATGGAGGACAGTTAAAATTTTGACCATTAGAATGGATGACACACAAATTGATAATTTTGGTAAAATTGGTTTGTACACCGAATTGTACCCCACTTTATTTCTCTACGTTTTACCCAAGCCTAAATATAATCTATTTTCAAACCCTCCCACCCTCTCATTTTGAGACCGCCACTGAACCGGAGACGAAGAGGTCCGTTTAATTTTTAGTTCCAAACTGTCCAGTTTGCTGGTGTTCAAGGTCAATAGCTTCAAGCAATCTCAAATAAAGAAAATACAATGATTTAACGGCCTTTGTTTGTTTATTTTACAGTCCTTTTTGGCCAAATCTTGCATATTTTTCAGCGAAAATAATAGATTGTTTATGCGCAAAATTTCATTGTAAACAATGAACGAAATGGTATAAATACAGGTGGTCTTATCAGAATCAAACACTACAATTCGATTTCGCACTGCAAAGAACAACTAACAGTTTTTTAAAAGTATAACTGCTTTCGATACTGCTTCAAAATGGTTAACACAGTGGTTGTTGCTTTGTTCGTTTTAGTCGCTGTGATCACAGTCTCCGATGCACAAATTGCAAGTAAGTGTTGTTTTGAATTTCAATTGAAAAGGAACAGTTCAGGATCTATTGGACCAATGAAACATTAGTCTCAGTAATAGTATTTACAGCTCATCGATATTTGGTTCAACCTTCAACACATATGTCCAGATTTATATGAGTTTGAAATTGAGAACAAAAATATATGATCACAAAAATTGACAAATCTGTGTACAAAAGGATAAGGAATATCTTACACATAAATATTATTTTTTTAAGATTGCCTGTTCTTTTTCTTTACTTATGTCTTAGCTGATATATACATAAACATTTTAATTTATTTTGTAGATTGTTTAACTACTGTTGGATGTGGGGGTGCGAACCGAGGTTTCTGTGACCCCACTGGAGCCGTTACCCCCGGAACTGGAACCTGCAGATGTTACCGGGGCTTCTATCTCAACCCCACTAACCCTACTCTTTGCCAAGGTAAGAATTATCAGATATAGTCGAGAATAGATATTCTACCACAAGACAGTCGACTGCTCAAGTTAATAATTTGAATCATCGGTGGATGTGAAGTTATATATTAGCTCGACTATTAACTGTGATATGTTAAATGTAGTTTTACGTCCTATGTTTTTACTATAATTGGGTTATTATTTGCGGGAAACGTCATGCAGTTTGCAATGAAGAAAAGTTATACCTGGACAGCGGCATTAACCTTATTATATATATTCTACCACAAGACAGTCGACTGCTCAAGTTAATAATTTGAATCATCGGTGGATGTGAAGTTATATATTAGCTCGACTATAAAATGTTTCCCGTTGTCTTCAGTCAATTGATGTGTGTGTCTTAGAGGGTGTTCGAGTCAGACGACTTGAAATCATTGATCCAGCAGTTCGATTTTTCAGTCATTAAATTGCTGGCTTGATCTGCAAATTCACAAGTCCACAAGTAACGATTTCTACACGATCGCTTATAATTGGCCAAACTGTATAGAATAATAACTGTGATATGTTAAATGTAGTTTTACGTCCTATGTTTTTACTATAATTGGGTTATTATTTGCGGGAAACGTCATGCAGTTTGCAATGAAGAAAATTTATACCTGGACATTGACATTAACCTTAGTATATTAGGAATATTCTGGGGCGCGTGTTTTAACTGAGGTACTGTGTTTAGGTTTAAATCAAGTTTGATTTACATCCACGATGTCGACCATATAACTTCTTCTGTTATAGATATCAACGAATGTATCGTATATCCCTGTGGTAGAAACAGTGGCCGAGTTTGTATTAATACTATCGGTAGCTTCTATTGTCAATGTAAGTAAAAACCAAATTAAATTCATGATATTATGAAGTTATAGTTTAAATCAAATAATAGGAGAATTCCCTGAATCCACTTTTCATAGTAGTTGTGTGGTTGTGAGATATTCATATCATAGTTTTTAAAGAGTTAGTTGTAAGTCAACCAAAAATTGTGCTTATATTCCTGTTACAATCAAAGTATCCGAAACTGGCTAGTCTTTGCCGTAACTAATAATGTATGTTTTTCTTTTTTGCAGACAATAGTAACAGCTTCCAGAATTTGTTAAACTATTACTATATTTCCGAACTCTTGGACTAATGCCACTATAGTGGAATTTCATGAAGATTTGTATATTAAGTGTAAAATATTAATACATGTATGCTAGACTTGTC